GCTTTCAAGAGGTTTTCTAAAGCCTTTGCGATACCGCGGGCTCAGAGACCCGAAGCTATTCTATTCCAAAGAAAGCTTTCCCCTGACGTGGTTTCTACTCTCGATTACCTAGATGGTAGGTACTTCATACGTATTCACTTTCCTTAGCACGTCGTCGTACCCTGCTACTACTATAGGAGGTTCTAAGGTCCAACCAAGCATTGCGTTTTGGATACCTGCCTGACGTTGATAAATACAACGACAACAACAACAACGACAACGACAACAACGACAACAACAACAACAACAACAACAACAACGACAACAACAACAACAAAAAAAAAATACTTCGTCCGATACCGTCTTTAGTCCTTACCTGATATAGCCACCCTTTTCTCTTCAGTGGCCGCTCTTATACCAACGCCTTGACGCCTCTAGCCAAAAAAATGATAATAGTCCACCATGTTTCTTTTTGTTAAACAAGATAAGAGAAATACCGTACAATCGCGAGTATCTTTAACAGACATGGATTTCATATAAAAATTGTCTTTTCTTTTATATATATAGTCTTTCCTTCTAGGTACCTATGGCCCGCAGTGGCCGATGATCTAGTTCAAAGTATATAGTACAATATAATATAATATAATATAATATGTGTTGGTTACACAATAGGGTGTACACGTGAGACTCGGTACGAATGGCAAGTGGTTGCATTCGTGGTGTTATTAAGTCTTTAGGGGAGGAAGCTATTCTAGCTGCGAGGTGCAGTTACATGTAGTTGGGTGCATGGGTGCACGGGCCACCATGTGGTTGCTATGGCAAAGGTGCACGTGCTAAGCACGGGCCACTTTTATTTTCGATCGAGTCTTTAACTCCGATCCCTTCATTCTTACACTCGCAATTTTCTCTTTTGCAATTGCAATAGTTGCAATTGCAATTGCAATTCTAATACAAATAAAAATAGCTCTTTCATTCTTAACGTTGTCGGTAAAAAATACTATCACCGTTCTTTCTAAATTCGGCCTGACCTTTTTATGCTCTCTCCATTTACTTTTCGACACGTACGTTGGCTTTGTTCGTATTAATAAAGGTCGCTAACGACTTATTTGGGTTGATTTTCGTTATAGAGTCGGCCAAATTATCCTTTCCTTCAATCTATTTGACCTTTGCAAGCTTTCGGCGCTCGTATGATTGCTTAAGAGCTATAATGTCGATTATTAAGCGCTTTTCCTTAGTGGTTCCGAGCTTGACAAGGCATTCGTAAAAGGAATATAAGTCGGTATAGACGATTATAAAGACTTCGAGGACTTCTAGCTTGTTAGTAATTATTTTGAGGGTGGTAGCTACGCAAATAGCAATATCCACACCGGAGATTATGTTATAGATTTCCGAAGCAAGTACTGAGCGTGTTACTCGCTTGCATTTTGTGGAACTAGCAGCGATGAGGTTCTTTTAAATAAGGAAAGAGCTGTTAAACTTCTCTTCGATTGCTAAGATAATTAGAAAACTAATTTGTGAACTGCAGTCTTTATTGTTAGCAAAACTCCCGTCTACAAATACGAACAGCTTCGCTGAACGTAAGTCGATGTTGAGGTATATTAAGCCTCGTTGCTGGTTTTCTATTATCTATGCAATTCTTTTGTTCAAGAAGGTGATGTCGTTTAAAGTGAGGTCCTTTTGCTAGATCTGCGCGGCGGTAGATAAGTCGAAAATAGCTTCGGGCTGACATAAGCTTGCAATGTAAGCTGTACGTGCTCGCTGTTCCAGGTAGTTGTTTTTATTTTCGGTAACTAGCTTTAGCTTCTTCCCTTAGTCCTTCTGCTTAAGTAGAATCGAGCTATTAGCGAACTTCTTTAGTGTTCCTTTATTGAATGTCACTTCGTTTTTTATTGTAAGCGTTTCTTTTGGCTTAGCGTTAAAATCAGCCTTCTTAAGCTCTTGCTCTTTTAAGTTATTGAACTCCTTGTCAGCTATTATCAGTGTGTCGTTTGTTTGCATTCTAATGATAGCGAATTTGCTAGTTGTAGAGATCAATAAACAAAGGTCGTATGTAAAAGAGACTATGAATAGCTTATTTTTATAGTGTCTGTAGTAGGTGTTCCACCAATGGGTACCTGCCTTCGCAATTCCGTATAGAGGTCTACGAATTAGTAAGATGTAGCCCGGAGGGTATAAGTGTTAGAGGTCCTTAAGCAAATACGCCAAGATCATACGCTCGAGGTAGCGCTGGCTCGATACGTAAGCTTGAGTAATATTTCGCAAAGAAACTGTTGCTTGATTAAAGGATTTTAAGAATAAGGCTAAGGAAATCATTAAACGCTAGCTATTGCGCTGAATAGTCGGGGATTAAGTGAGAATATCATACTTGCTTTCGTCGCCTTAAGCTTGAATAATAAGGCGTGATTTTTCGTATAGTTCGAGGGTATTCTTGCTTTTGATCTTATCGACCATTCGAGAGTTGAATATGCGGCTTGTTCCGTAGATCGCAAGGTTGTATTTTACAACCTCAAATACCTCCTTTTCTATTAGGCCCTTTAGCTTTTAGAGGCGTGATTCTACGAATTGCTCGCCGAGCGTAGTGATAACTCCTTCGTTTCTGAGCTTCGTAGAGAGCGCAACATCAGCCTTTTCTTTATAAGTAAGGAATATTATAATGATATTACTTTCGTGATTAAGAAATTGCTTGTTAAAATCTTTGAACTCTTTTATACTTGCAAAAAAGTAACGGGGGTTGTAGCGAATTGCCAAACTGCTTTTCGGTTTGCGCGAGCGTGATTTAATTTTAGTAGCTAGAGTAGTAGGTTGTTTTATAAGCTGGACCGGTAGTAGTTTAGCTTTAGTTGACCGGTTCGGTGGCAAGGATTCTTCGAGGTTTAGCGTATCTAAAAGTGTTTTATAGTACGGTTTGACAATTACTAAACGGAATTCGCTAATTCGGTCGTTTACGAGTACTTTGCAAGTTTCGTTTTCACGTGCAATTAGCTTGTGCGGTCCGGTCTATTCGCTTTTACTTGGTTTACTTTTTACCTCTTTATAAACTCTGACGTTTGATTGCAAAAGGAGGTTGAAGGTTTTCAAGGTATTTGGTCCATTTCGCATTGCTAAAGCGTCCTTGACTTTTCTTTTAGCTTGTAGTCGACGAATCTCTTTAGTTGCAGCTCGAAAGGCTTTTCGTCTTTTTGTTATAGATAGTGTTGGAGAATCTGTTTTAGAAAAGCGTAGGTATGCGCCGTATACGAGCAATGTAAAGATAATACCTCCGGGGTCGGCTGTATCGTTGATAACTTTAAAAGCTATTTAAAGTACTATGTGCTTATCAACTCCCTCACTTGCTAGTTCCTCTTTTAGAATATTGTATATTCTTCGGAGAGGGCTATAATAGCGTTCTACTTTTCCGACGCTATTGTGAGCTTCGACTAAGATTACCTTGATCTTAGTATTCATCGAATTTGCTTGTTGTTTGAACTCTTAAGAGCTCAAGTTGGTTCTAGCGTCTATTACGATTATATCTAAAGGGCTTAAGTATGTATCGATCTAATAGTAACGTACTGTATCTTATACGTGTTTTGCAGTTATATTCTTAAAGAATCTTTTAAAACCGTAGCTTGTAGCTGAATCCACGATATGTAATACGAGGTCCCCGTTAATATATATAATGTTAATAATAATCGAATAGTTGAATTCATACTCATCTTTTAAAGAGATTTTGAATCTGCGAAAGGCTTGCTTATATAGTTGATACTGCGCATAGTATTTAGTAATCTTCTCGAGGATATCGGTTTCAAACTCTTCACCGGCAGCCTTAAGAGTGGTAGCAAAACGCTGTATTAAAGGGTGTCTTTAGCGGCGATGAATTTGACGCAATTCTCCTTCGGTGAGGTAGCATGTAATAGTTTCTTGCTGATTAAGCAGTAAGAATAGGTAGCCTTATTTTCTAACAACTAGCACGTTATTATAGCCTTGCATAAGCAGGTTTTTCAAATTGTCAAAATATACGCTAAGAGAATTTATGTCTTTCAAATAGATTAAGAAAAGGGTGTTAATATTGACTATATGAAAAACAATCTTGCTAATTGGTGTTTGTACTTCTACGGTTCCTTTGATAATAGCCGAGGTCTCGCCGAAGCTGATAGTACCTTCTTGAGTAGTAATCACTTGTAATTCAAGCAAGTGGTGCTAAAGAGCTCTCACTTGTGCTTCTTTTACAAAAGACTTACTTGCAGCTCTCGAATCGAGAAGGAAGCTTTAGAATCGGTAAGCTGAATACCAAGAGTGTAAAATGTAGGTCTTTAGTAGAACGGTCTCATCTTCTTTAATTAAGGGGTTCATAGCGTCCAAGGTAGTGAAAGCGTAATAAGCTGAGCGTTCTTGTAAAATTGCAATAGTCTCGGCGCTTGTCACTTTTCTAGCCTCGGTAAGAAAGGTTTGAGTGAAGTAGTTGCGGTCACCGTGATCGTATTCGTCGTACTGATAGTTTTCAATAGCGTATGTTGCTTGATCTTAATGATTTTCCTCGTTTGCAATACCCTTTACTCCTTCGTAGTCCGTTAAGAAGCTTGCAAAATAAGCCAAGGTTACTGGTTAAGTGGTGTAGTACGTAGCGCCTTTCTTGTATTCGTCGTAAAAGCGTTTTCGTTCTTCGAAAGAGTGTTTTGTAAATTAGCAGTCGGGTTTGCCGCAGATGAAGCATACCTTAAGCTTTCTACCTCCGCGGAAGCCTTTATTCTTTCCTTTACGTGCAAAACCTTTATTCTTACCTTTGCCTCCACTACCGCGATTATAGCCTTTTAAGCCACGGTTATAGCTCTCACTTGATCCTTTATAGTTTCGATCGGTGTAGTAGGTCTCGTGATTGCAATTAGTATCGCAATTGTGGTCGTTAAAAGCATAGTACATAGTAAGAAAGGCTGTGTATTCGAATACTTAGCGTTCTCTTTAAATAATACCGATTGCTGATCGTAATTAAGCAGCAACTCCTTCGTATGTATTAGCTGGATTGAACATTGCTAGTCTGCATTCCTCGACTCTATTGCAAGCGCTAATAAGTTGATCGCGCAATACGTTATCGGTCTAGTATTCGAGTGTAAGGCCTTGCTGACAGCTCTTTAAAAGCTTCATCGTAATCTCTAAGCATTCTAATCGAGTCTTCCCGATGTTCTCTTTGTCTGCAATAACACTAGCGAATGTAGTAGTTCTTTATAAGCTTATGTAGTGCTTTCGGTTTTCATCGGTTTCGAAGTGTTAGGCCATAAGGTGTGTCATGGCTTCGAAAGAGTAGCTTCTGCTAGCTATTTGATCGATATAGTAAGCGTTTGCTGCTCCGGTAAGCATAACAAGGAAAGCTTTAGCGTATAAAGTAAAAAGGATGTCGCATGTTTCGCATAAGCTGTAAAACTTTTTTAGCTTTACGAAAAGTATATCTTATATTCTTCTATTGTATTTGAGCTCCTTCTTATGTCTATACATCTTATTAAGTCCGCTAATCAACTGCGCTAGGCTTGATCTCCAGCCTCCTTTAGCTGATTGGTCAAGGTCTCTTTCATTACCACCTCCACCTCCTTTTCCTCCACCACCTCTTCTTCCACCTCTTCTTCCACCTCCTCCTTCACCTCTTCCTCCACCGCCTCCTCCACCTCCTTTATAGTTATCTTTGCGATAAGAGTCCTCCGTATGGTTGCTTTCACTATCATCACCTCCGCCTCCCCTATTTGCTCCTCGTCCTTAAGGTTCGCGGTGTTCGAAAAGTGGTACGTAAGGTTGTTTATGAACCATTAGGTTAAGTAGGGGTCGAGACAAGATCGGGTGAATCGGTGGTAAAGGTTGTAGTCGAGGGTCAAAGGGTAGTCGAGGGTCAAGGGTGAACTCCCATTGTTTCTGCTGTTGATAGGGTTGCCTATCGAATGGTATATCGAATTGTATATCATTCGAGGGTAAGGGTAAGGGTCGATACAGTTGGGGGTGTATCGGTGGGAGGGGTGGTCGTGTAGGTTGCATCGGTATAAGAGGTGTGAGAAGTAAAGGTGAAAGTGGGGGTTTGACGGCAGGTCTGTATATCATTAAACTGAGTCGCTTTTCTCGTTTTGCCTCTTCGTGAGGTGGAAATACGAGAAATGTCGATCTGTGAAGTAGTTCAGCAAAGGCTGAAGCATAGCTTACACTACTTCTTGGATCTTTCATTTACACGTAGTGGACGAAGAGGTGATTGTATAAGTATTTTAAGATTGTGATGTGACCTAACTTAAACAATAGTTTAGTCCATCTTTTAAAGAAGCTCTAGTATGTCTCTTATAAATTGTCACTTGTAGCGTAGCGATAATCATCTTTGAATATATCGAAGGCTCGGATGATATACGAGTGAACGCAACCTTAAGTCTATTTGGTCTTATTAGTAAGGTCGAAATCATCAGCTTCTTATACCTCTCGATCGACTTTGAATTTGCTTCGGAGAGTCCATTCGAGTTCCTCGAAGCTACTTGCTAGAGGCCGAACAGATTTCTTTAAGAGGGGGGGGGGGGGTCTTCGAATTCGTAAAAGGGAGGGTTTCTGTTTCTGTCATCCGCCATATTAGCGGCGGTGGTTGCGTGATAGGGTGGTTGCGTGATAGACGCTACAACTAGTGATAGTACTGCCAATTGTATTGGGTTTCCGCTAGACTTGTTAAGAACTAACGGTTGCTTGTAGCGTAGTTAATACCTTTAAAAGGGCAAAAACTACCTCTTCTTTTCTGTACCTAGCTCATCTATGGTTAAGTGTGAATTTAACTACTGATCAGTGTTGGTTACATAATAGGGTGCACACGTGAGACTCGATACGAATAGCAAGTGGTTGCATTCGTGGTGTTGTTAAGTCTCTAGGGGAGGAAGCTATTCTAGCTGCGAGGTGCAGTTACATGTAGTTGGGTGCATGGGTGCACGGGCCACCATGTGGTTGCTATGGCAAAGGTGCACGTGCCAAGCACGGGCCACCCTTATCCCCGATCGAGTCCTTAACTCCGATCCCCTTATTCCCACAATATGAGACAGGAAAAAATATGTACGGAGTGGAGTACGTACGACCACTTCCTCCTCCTCCTCCTCCTCCTCCTCTTCCTTCTCCTCCTCCTCTATTTCCCAACCTCCCACACCTTATTTTATACTGTAGATGGCTGAGATGATGCGCATTTAAGCATTTCCCCCTATTTATATTGCTGCTACTGAGCGACTACTCATCCCTTTCGTGAAACTTTTCTCGCTCACTCACGCCCTCTTCTCTCTCCTCTCTCTTCCAAACCTCTGTTGGAAGAATTATAAACAGGAATTTCTACCCCACGCCTGTATCCCTTGTCAATGAAGATTTGGGGACGGGGGGAGGGATGAACGAACAGGCCCCTTATATCGGATTATCCATCCCCGGGCTCCCCAGACTCCCCATCACAAAAGAAGACGCCTCCTTGAACCTCGGCGGCGGCGGCGGCAGCGGCGGCGTCGTCGTCCTGCTGAAATCTCCCACGCTCCCCCCGCCAGGTGTACTTCCTGCCCCCCCACCGAGCCCCCTCTTCATCATCTTCCCCAGAATGCCGACCAGCTGCGCCGCCTCCTCGAACATCTCGTCATCCATGCCCTCCGTGGCGTTGTACACCTCCGAGATGGTCGCCTTGGCCAGCTGGCGCGAGCGGTCGCGTTCGTGCAGACAGTCGTACAGGAAGGCCGTGAACTCGACCTTGACCGAGAGCCGGAGGGGGTGGCTGCCCCAGAGCAGGCTGTCGGCGAGCGACGTCGCTTCTTGGAAGTACTGGAGTGTGAGGGGCCGGAAGTCGCCGGCGAGGACGAGAAAGTTGGGCGCGAACTCCAAGGGGAGCGGAGGCGGGATGCCGCCGACGGGTCCGCCTTCGAAGGGGTGGGTCGGTTGGACGGAGCTCGGCCGGACCGGCTCGATTGGGGTGGAGCTGCGGTCGATGTCCTTCCCTTTGTCGAGCTTGGTGGCTCGGGGAGATTTGAGGCCGGGTGGTGTGGAAATCTTGAGGCTGACGGGCGGCTGGTTGTGGAACAGGACGTAGAGGTGGTAGAAGCTGGCGCGGAGTTTGTGCGCGAGGACTTTGAGCTCGACCGTCTTGGAGACGAGGGGGAGCACGTATTCTTCCAGGATCTTGAGACATTCGCGCGTGTACCATATGATGCGGCAGTACAGGTCGACCGATTTGGTATCGCGGGTTGTGTCTAGACGGCGGAGTTTGCGGGCTCGGAGTACCCTGTCGGAGAACATGGTTATGTTCCCGAGGATTTGGAAGAGGCTTTGGGAGAGGAGAGGTTGATCAATCTGGATGTTGCGAGCGAAGGTGCCCAGAAACTTCATGTCGACCTCGGAAGAAGCCATTGGCGTTCTTTGGTTGCAGAAGGACCGAATTCAAGGACACCAGGGTTGACGATTGGCCGTGTCTCCAAGGAGAGAGAGAAGGCCCGATCTCGTTGGCTGGGTCCAGAGTAGATTGCCGGCTGGAATCCGCCAGTCACAATTTCAGGCCTGGTAACAGTTTTCTTGAGCAATACCCGGCTCCGGAGTCGTTACAGCGCTTCGGTCACTCGGGAGCTGGAGATGCAAGAAGCCGTCTTCGAGCAATCTGACTCGAGGAGCAAACTTTCCGAGAATTTCGTTTATCTTGTGAAATGAGTCTAAATAGTTGAATGAGCCATGTTTGCGCGCTTGCTGATCAGGAAGATCAGGGACGCAATGGAAGACAGGAGATCCCAATCGAACTCACCAAGGAAAAGTCCCAATCGCCACCTTTTTTACCCACCCCGTGGTTGAAGTCGGTGGCGAGGTTACTGTTGAAAGATGAAGTTTGAATAGCGAACGCCGGGATGGCAAGTGTATATTGATGATACAAAACTCGCGACGAACTTTTGATGCTCCAAAAATAACCCAAGCTTGCAATTATTAGCATGCCACGTCCTAAAGACTTCGAAATTGAACCAAAGGGTAATTGGATCCAAATTCAAGGCTCACAGCTTGAGAACTCGAGACCTCCACCTCCTACCACCCAACAACACCACCACCACCACCAATCTAGAAGCACCAAGTCAGACCGATCCAAATGTAACGATTCACGGGGGAAGAGGAAGAGAGGCCAGAAAGGGGCAGCAAGCAGCAAGCAGCTGTCGCCCAGTCGCACCGCACTAACCCTATATCCTATATCCTGTATTTACAGAGCGGTGCTCAATCAGGACGGGACTCGGTATGGTTTGTGTGGCTCGAGTGGCTCGAGAGCCAACAGCTGGCAGAAAACGGCGGGTGCAGCAGCGCAGCCAAAGGGGATCGTTCCTAGCACGGGAGCTCGCGCGAACCCTTTGCCTTGGATCCTTCTAGCAGTGGGATAGAAGGCGCACAATGCATCTCGAACCACGAGAAGTTCGCAATTGCACCTGAGGAGCCGTTAGAGCGGTGAGAGCGTTCCGGGATGTTCGGTCACGTCGCTGGGCTCGGTAGGTATAGCACAAGCAAAGTATAGTATGTATGATAGATAGGCTTCAGATGCAGCGGGCCGAGCCTCAGTGAACCAGCGAACACTTGATGCACTGCACCCAGATCGGGGAAATATACAGAGGAGAAGAGAAGGACCTTGACGCACCAAGGGCGTTTCAGATATCGCGTCTCGAACAACGTCGACGACGACGACAGCTGTAACAACAGCGACAGTATAAACAAACATGCAGCAGAAACAGGGTTGCAAAAAATCAGACGGAAAGAAAATAAGGACGCCGAACGAACAGCACACGATATGACTCTCTCTCTCTCTCCTCTCTCTCTCTTTCTCTCTCTCTCTCTCTCTCTCTTTCTCTCTCTCTCTCTCAAAGTCACTTGGGTCACTGCAATTGCCCTTGCCCTTACCCCTTTACCCTTGCCCTTTGCCCTTTGCCCCTTGGCTGTCCCCCCTCGGCATGCAGCAACTGCCATGCACCAGCTCTGATCGTCGTAAAGTAGGTACCGTAGATGTACAGGTACTGTACGACCGCTGTACGGAGTATTGTTGCAGCTGCAGCTTCTGGCGTACCGTAGGCGGAGGAGCATCTTGCTGCTGCACGATACGTGGCATCTCGCGCGTCGACGCCCACGAATTTGAAGGCGGAACAGTAAGCGTGCTGACTTGGCCTTGAAAGTTGAATGGCTCAGGAGTCCGGCCGGCCGGCCGAAAATGTCCGACCAGAGGCTAAGCGAGGCTAAGCGAGGCTATTATTGCCAAACTCAAAGTCGTCTTGGAGTTTTGAGCGACCTATTCGTCGGGATATTTATATCTAACTATCTATCTATCAATCTACTACGTATCTATCAATCTACTACGTATCTATCTCTCTATCTATCTATCTATATATATCTATAGTATCTATCTATATATATCTACCTATGTCCGGGCTGTTTGATCCTCTCTCTACTCTCTACATCAAGCCAACTAACTGTCAACGACACTGCTCCAACCCGGTCCGTCCTGCCCATCAATCCGACGTCGATTGCCAGGGCTATTATTAGCTCCTATACGTGCCCATAAAAATCCAAATGTATATTACCTAATACTTACCAACCGCAAAACTGCTGCACGGTGAAGCAGACCAGACCGCCATTTCTCCACGCCCGTTTGCCCGGGTACGCAGGGGCAGGGCAGGGCAGGGCAGGGGGTGACGATGCAATGCAGGAGGTTGCATATACTACGTACCGTACAGAGTATGTATGCATCCACGCGTGCATTACGACACGAGCTCCTGCGCGAGACGTGTCCCGGGTTTTTTAAAAAAATTTTTTTTTTTTTCGGTGCTCCATACAATTGCTACACCCTAATACCGTCGTCTCGAAATCTTCCAAGTTTCCGCAAACCTATTCTCTCGGTTCTCCAAAAGGGGATCACACACATGCGTACCCCGTAAAAGAGAAAAGCCAGCTATAACATAAGAATTAGGTAAATGTTACGGCGTCTCAAACATAACAACCCGTTACCGAGCTATGCACCCAGATAGTTACCTAGGCATGCCTCCCTCTCCAATTAAGCAACTGGAGAAGGTGTAAGTACGACAAGGAGGAACCATCTCCCAGGATTCAGGTCCCCTTCGTCCCTGTAGGCTGTATCTCTTCCATCCTGAGAATGCTCGCTAGCACCCTTCCCCCTCCCCCTCCCCCTCCTCCCCGAGGAAACAGTTGCAATCAACAATTGATGCAATGAGAGTAAATGTTCCGTGAAGATGCGTATATGCTATTTAAGTAAACAAATCTCCTAGAATAACATTATACAAAATAACATTATATAACGTATACATACGACTTGGGTAGTAGCCGACGAGAAGAGAATCTATGCATGCTGCAAACGCCGACCAACGATTGGAAATCAAGAAACCCCCATGACACCACCCAGCCTCTCTGAACCGTTCCTGCGTAGCAAAATATCCAGCGCGGCAAAGAAGAACCCCGCAAGCGAAATGCAGTAAATCACCGATCGGGAACATCGATGGACCAATGCAGACTCGACCGGCTCGATGCAGAGAATCCCGGGCTGTTATGAAATCTAGCATTATTTCTTCGTCTTTGACAAGTTCCTTATTGAGAACTACCAGAATGAAGCCAAGAGAGTCATCTCGGCTCGTTTACGACTCTCAACCCGCCGAAGTCGACACCGACCATGCTTCTAGCGTTCTCCGGGCCGGCTTGGCTTCGGGCAGCAGCCATGAATTCACCTAGATGGGCCCGAGTCAGCGTCTCATTCGGCTCAAGACCACATCCCGTTCCCCGAGAAGTTTCTTAGGGAAGAAGTTTTTCCGTCTTCGGCAAATCATCCAACCGGCAACTACATTCCGGCCCAGCAAGAAAAAGAAAAAAAGCTGGGGAAGAAGAGCGGGAAGAGGTTCATAGAGGGTTGAGGTTTGATACCAATAACGCCCGTGGTAGCTTACCTGCGTTACGAAAGCCCATCTTCGAAAGAGAGAGTATTCCGGCTTGGGCTAGGGCGTCAATGGCGTCGACTGTCCAAATCACACAGTCGTAGCCGTCGAGGACAGGGTTTCCTTCCCCTTCGGAAAGAGGCCCGAGCTGAGCCTCGCGGTTTTGTCGACCAAGGGGGACTCGGCTAACGATTGAACGGATCTCCTCGCATTGAGACTCGATGGGCCCACGTGCAGGGTCCAGAGTACATATCTTGTACAAGAGGACAAGTGATTTCACAGCGGAGACGTCTCGCGAGGGTTTTTGTTCGAGCTGCCAAATTTTGGATGTGCCTTCGGGTGTTCCGCTCGGCCTGTCGTAGCTGGCGTGGAACAATGTTCCTGAGACGTTGAGAGAGTTGTCTGAAGTGTGTCGTGGCTCGGTCAAGAAGAGAGCCCGGTGCTGTGAAAACTTTCAGATACAATCACGCACGGAAGTAGCAAGGATGGGCTAGCTAAGGACGGGATTACCCCAGCCGGATGTATCTAAGGATAGTACGTACGTAGTCATCAACCCGTGGAGCGTTGAACGTAAGATACATGCTGTTGCGCATGATCTTCTTGACCTCTGGGCTGAAAATTCCCTCTGGAGCGTCGCCATCTGATCCCACAGGATGGTCCAGTCTGGGGGAAGAGGTCGACGGCGAGGACTGATTTGAGTCTGAAGTGGAACGTGAGAGCTGTGCCGGCCCTCTTAATCGCACGACAGGTAGAGGTGTAGTATATGTTGGTGACGAGTGGCGCGAGGCCTTGAACATCGAAGACTGCATCTTGTCCACTAGCATCTCGCATCCTCATTCAGCCCCGAAAAAGGCAAAATAAGTTATAACCAAGCAGTCAAACACGGGAGGTGGATCTAGTGTGGTAACGAAGCACACAGTAACATGACAGCGGCAAGAACGTGGAACCCAAGACAGAAGTGCGAGCGATGGTAGAGAAAAAGAAGGCCATTCATTCATTCGAATGGGAAACGGTGTCGGATTATGTAGGTGATAAGTATACGTGATGTGTGTGATGTGTGTGGTGTATGCGATGTATATGATGTCGATGATGAATATGATGTTCCGTACATGGACTTTCGAATTCGAGCAGAGTATAAACAGTCTCGTGCTCGGTGCTCGGTGCTCGGTGCTCGGTGCTCGGTGCTCTAGGCTACATGCTTATATTCCCTTTCGCCTGTGCCAGGTTTCGGTAGCGTGAAAGACGGTGGACCGTTTCAGCCTCGTGGGAGGCCGGAAGACTTCTCCGGTATGATCGAAAACAGGAAAAGCTGCATATGGGCTTGTTCGCCGACCGTCCATTCCCCTGCCTGCTGGGCATGGCCACACTTGCGTTTCTCTGTTTTGGGTGATTTTAGCGACGAGGCGGGGAAAAAGATTGGCCTGGCCAAGAATTGACGACGGGGGTTCAATACCAGTAGAAAAGAAGGTTTTGTTTGTCCTGCTTGTTCCGTACCGCGGGTACCGTATACGGTAGGATAAATCAAGAAATAAGAAAAGTAAGTGGAAGGAGAAGGAGAAATAGAAGTAGAAGGCTCCGGCCGGCCCGGTCCGTTTCCAGCAGTCCTACGTAGGATCTTCCATCTTCTCTTCGTGGCCGGACCCGCGAAGTAGAAGTAGAAGTAGACGTAGAAGTAGATGTAGATGTAGGAGAAGAGATGGAAGTAGTAGCATAGAGCGAAGTGCAGAGGATCGACATGATCCTTCATATTCTGCTGCAATGCTGAGCCAATGGCCGGGAACGAGGCCGAAGAACGGCTGCTACAATACCAATATGTAGAGTGTAGGGTGAGCCCGAGATCGATACTGTACCCGTACTGTATGAGAGACGGTAGTCTGAGACGCAGTTGGCAGCGCAGAAGCGACACCGAACAAGTTTAGCGTACAGAATGCTTGCCATGCGCTCGCCACGCTCTCCTACTCCTACAGTACAGTACTGTACCTACTGTACTGTACAGACCAGCACGTCAGCCATGGTCCTCTTTCCTGCAGGAGTAGTACCAGTAGTACGTACAGTAGTATATGCAATACTGTACTGTACTTGAGACCAGATCGGATGCAGAAGCTGGCAATGATCGGCTCGAACCGCGTGAATCCGAGTGAGACGGGCTGGGAATTTCAGAGAAATGTGACGTCCGTGGGCGTCCGCCAGTCCAATAAGAATGAGACGGAGACGTGGGGGTCAGCCTTCACCAGGCTGAAGATAAGCAGAAATATGTCATCAGGACCTGGGCAGCCAAGATCATTCGGTGGCAATAGCTTATTTCTCCGGGCGAAGTTCCACGTTGCCAATCCTTGCCAGTCATGTTCACTTACCATGCTACTAGTTGGCCTACGCCTTATGAGCCCCCCCCCCCCCCCCAGATGGTGCTGGTGACGTACAATCGAAGGTAATGAGTGGAAAGACTGCCTGCCAACAAACAAACCCATGGACTCGGGGATATCGCGGAAGTCTACAAGCCCCAATCTTCCCAATGTCTCCAAACCCCGGATGCCCCATTGCCAAAGTAATTCGTAGTACGTATCTCGGTTATCTCGGTGACTTCTTCCACGACATAAGTGTCGAACGATCCAGTAGTGGCTCATATGGAATAGCTTCATTCGCCAAGTCTTGAAGGGCGTCATCAGCGGCTCCGTGGGCGTCTGCAGACAAAGAATGCTGGTCAGGCTTGGGTGCTGCAGAAGATATGTGGTTCGTGCTCTTCGACCGATATTCACCCTTCAGCCGCAATCAACTTCGGCGGTCTAGTGGTTCTCCCAAGGCCCTGCTTCCCATAATAATCCATCGGATAGACATCTTCGTTTCCAACCCCCCAGTCTTCCTTTTCACCCAGAACAATCAATGCCTCATATGGGGTTAGTAAAGGTCTGGGGAAGGCATATCCCCAATCGATGCTCAACCTAGGGCAGGCAACTTGCACCCAGCACTCAACGTCACACATCATAGCGAGCTTGCCTGGAAAAATCTCGCTGAGTAGCAGATTGATGTAGGGTATCTCTTGACTCTCCAATTTCTTCTCGATGAGTGCCATCGTATGTGGATTTCCTTGACGGCCGAGGGACCCGAGGATAAGTCCCCACTTTCTCGCCGACTTAGCGGATGCAATAGCTTCGCGACGGAGGGTATGCATCTCCTTGTGGTCATAGGTCTCCCTTGTGAGCTTCCGGGAATATGGATCATATCGGTAAGCTGGGATAATAGGGTTGTGGATCATGGCGCTCTCGAGATGGAACCGTCCATCTCCAAGGTACAGAATCATGTCAACTTCCTCCGCCAACCGTGGCGATGTACATCCTAGAATTTCGCCCTTACTCAGCGGAGAGATTTGGGGAATCAGAAGCTTGTAGCCGGCTTTCTCCAGAGGTGCTCGTATACCATGAAGCGTGGCATTAAACTGTATCGTTCCAACCATGGCAATATACTTTCCCGAAGGAAAGCTCTTCTCAAGTGTTGTAAGCAAATGTGAAGTATCAATACTGATATCAACGAACACATAGAGCGTCTTGATTGTTGTCACATCCACGGGGATTAAGCAGGAATGTGCGTAGTGTACCAGCAGATCACATCCCAGCGCCCTTGCCGTGTAGTCATCGATACAGCAAGCTCCATACGTAACATCTCCCATGATCAAGGTCTCGATACCAGGGCAGAATTGCGTAAGAATATCCGATATTGTGGTTGCAAAGAGTAATAGGCCTTCCGGCATCTGTAGAGCAACTTTCTTCGATCCATTCGTTCGTATGCGGTGTATGGTCTTGTGTATTTCGAAGGAGTAATTTGGAGGGAGGAGCGAAATTGCGGCGTTGATGTCTGGATCATTGAGGATTTCGGGTGGAACCTGATTCAGAATACGAGGGGCTCGCTTCGAGACTACAACGGATTTATTAGTAGTTACAACCAATCATGATCGGGATGCGCCTCATCCAACTTGCCTTGAACTGAGCCGGCTTCTCTCTCGGGCATATTTGCTTCATTCCTCATGGCGGCTTCTGCAGCTTGCTTTCTGCCCACAAAGCGTTTCTTGGGATGGCGCTGGGCCGCGATAGCCTCTTCTTGCTGTTCTTCAACATCTGCCGCAATTCCTAGGTCAACCTGAGCCCTGTCTTCCTCCATACCGGCGGCGAGATCCGTTCTCGTGGTGGTAGTGTGTTCTGGTGGTGGTGGTGGTGGTGGAGTTGGTGGTGAGTCGCGATGAATTTGAAGTACTCCGTAGCGCGGGGTACTTAGGAGGTGTCACGTGATACGGCGAGACCCCGCCCCCTATATGTAGCGAAGAATCAACACTGCGCGGCTGTACGGAAAACCCCCAAGAGTTACAAGTTCGGCGTACCTATGAAGATACCCAACTATTCTTCTAACCCCATTCGTAGAAAAGAGTCAATTATTGTCGTCGACAAGTACGCATTTGAATTGTTTCCATGCAGGTCTTTGACTTCGAAGGCAGTAGCCGATGAGTCGCCCCAATTGCCGATAAGTCGGGAATCCTCATCCCACTATGCATATAGTATGCATATAGGTAGATATAGGTACAGGAGGTATATATGACAACGAGTGTGCCCAAAAGTATAGCAGCATCATGCACAAAGCATTTCGAGCTCTCCAAAGCCGATTCGCTCTCAACACGACTTGCCACGGACACAACAAGACACACCACCGGAGATACTTATCAAACATGTCGAACCTCTTGAAGAAACCAGTCAAGCTCGCCTTGGTGCAACTCGCCTCCGGTTCGTGAGATACGCCCTTCTCACTCTTCTCACTGCTCGCGCGCCTCACAACCAGGCCCAACTGACATGATGCATAGGCGCAGACAAAAGCCAGAACCTTGCGCATGCCCGAGAAAAGGTCCTTTCTGCTGCATCTGCTGGCGCCAATATTATCGTGCTGCCAGAATGCTTCAATTCGCCATACGGATGCGACTATTTCTCCTCATACGCTGAGACGCTTCTGCCCCCCCCACCCACGAAGGAGCAGTCACCCTCATTCCATGCCTTATCTACCATGGCCGCGGACGCGAAGACATATCTGGTTGGAGGATCGATTCCCGAACTGGACACGGCCACAAAGAAATACTATAACACATCTTTGACGTTCTCACCGGAAGGGACGCTGCTGGCTACACATCGAAAGATACACCTATTCGATATCGATATCCCAGGCAAGATTAAGTTCAAGGAATCAGAAGTCTTGTCTCCTGGAAACAAGGTTACCATCGTTGATCTGCCAGAGTATGGAAAGATTGCCGTAGCCATCTGCTATGATATCCGGTTCCCGGAGCTTGCTATGATAGCCGCGAGGAAAGGGTGCTTTGCATTGATTTACCCGGGGGCTTTTAACACGACGACTGGACCATTGCACTGGAAGCTTCAAGGGCAGGCGAGGGCCCTGGACAACCAACTCTACGTCGCGTTGTGCAGCCCGGCGAGGGATGTGAATGCTAGCTACCATGCCTGGGGCCACAGCCTGATTTGCGATCCGATGGCGGCGGTGATGGTCGAGGCCGGAGAATCGGAAGAGACCGTCTTCTCGCTTCTGGACGGGGCCAAAATTGGGGAGGCCCGAGAGGGCATCCCTATCTACAGACAGAGAAGATTCGACGTCTACCCCGATGTTGCCACGGGCACTGCAACATTTGAGGACGAGGGACGAGCGCAGAGACTGGGATGATGGCATGGACGGCTGAAGGCGGCAAATTACTGCAGGCGATCCACGAACTCATCTCGATTGAGTTCAGCTACACGAGCCATGTAGAGTATAGGTAACTTAGAATAGCACGCCGAGGCTGCTCAAGCTTTCAGTCTCTTAGGGGGTGATTTCCATTTCAAAATGCTCGGAGAGCTCATCAACAGGGGCGAAACTTGGTAAAGTCTTATCTGTCGGTCCGAAACGTCAAGAGCCACATTTATTTTGGGGATATGCTGGGATTTCGGGATGTCGGGAATAGGAGGCATGCGATGCATGAAGTGCCCACTTGCGAGCGATTAGATGAAAAGGAGCTGACTTGACTCTTCCGACGGATGAAGGGACGAAGGAACAGGGAGACGCAGTCTTGGGAGGGGGTGTGTTTTGAGTGTTGTATGAGTATATGAGTGTATGAGTGTATGAGTACCGGTATATGAGTGTAAGAGAGTTATGAGTGTATGAGAGTACCGGTACGGTAGAAGTCTGAGTGTACCGGTATGAGTATTGTTTCCCCGTAGGCCCGAAGACGAGGATGGGATCCCCTTTAGCCAGCCCACGCGTCCCATGTCGCTGTATTTCCGTTCCGTCGGTTCGCAAGTACGTACGTAGTAGTACGTAGTAATACCGGTATAGTAATACGTACGGTACTACTAGTAGTACCGTAATACGTAGCAAGTTGTTATAGAGTTTATACGGATAAACACAAGGTACAGGGTAGTTAAGGTTCTTCCAAACCAAATTACTAAAATAGTTCATCTGCCGGCTTGTATGTGGCTTCTTCACACACCTCACCAGTGTTCACCCTTTTCTTGACTCCCCGTCCAGCAGAGATCGATCGTACATCATCTCGAATATTACTGTCCTTATCGCCACCTTCTGGCTTAACTCGAGTCTCTACTTACAACACTCACGCTATCGTTGTCGACCAACGGTGAAGACCGACCTAACGCCTCCTATTACTTCCTCGCCAGCCTGAAGCCTCGTGCAATCAATCAACCAAACCAACCATCAACCACCTACGCAATCAATCGTGGATGCGCTGAAGAAAGAGTCGATTCTCCTCTACTGCTACCCGACTGACCCCTTACTTCGCGGGCCCGGATTCCAGGAGCCGCAATGCAGCCGTCACTTAGCTCCCTCGAAGAGCGGAAGCGGCGCTCTCGGAACATCGTCTTTGCGGCTTTCCTTCTCCTCGTTGTAATATGGAGCGTCAAGCTGGCCTTCCCTCACCACACGCTCGCCTCCGCCTACCAGAACAGCAACAACATCGACAGCGATGATATGACTCCCCTTCCGCCTCCGGTGGCGGCAGCTACCGAACCAGAAAAATCTGCACAGGCGGGACCAACGGCCCTGGACAGCACCAAGCCGGTGACACCCTTCAACGATACTCAGAAGGAAAAGGTAGCGGTGATCATCGAGACCAGATTTCGTACGAACCTCGTCCCCCTGATCCTGCACTTCAGCAGCGTTCTCGGCCCATCATGGCCCATCATCATTTACACGTCGCCCGAAGCTGTCGGCATGTTCGTGACATCGGCCGCGCTGGCCCGGTACATCAAAATCGGCACGATCGAGATCCGTATCTTGCCCCAGGAGACGCTCTTTACCAATTCTGACTCGGTCAATGCCTTCAGTACGTAACAGATCTACCCACACGCATCCATCCATCCTCCAAATCAGAATTTACAAAAATGGACCCCAGAAATTGCAAAGGCTGACTGTATCTGTGTTTCAGTGACCAACTCGTGGCTGTGGACCAATCTGGCGCCCTACGAACACATCCTCATCTTTCAGAGCGACAGCATGCTCTGCGCCAACGCGGCGCGGAGCGTGGAGGATTTCTTCGAATATGACCTGGTCGGAGCGCCGATTGCCGCGGACCGGGGTAGTGGCTACAACGGGGGGCTCAGCCTGCGGAAACGCAGCACGATCTTGAGAGTCTTGGACCGATTCGTCTGGGAAGAAGAGAAGCACAAGGGCGCCGCTAACGAGAACCGGTTTGAGGACCAGTATTATTATAACCGGTAAGCGAAAAGTGCCGTCGCTCTTGTTTCTTTTACGGCCTCTTTTTGGGGGCAATGTTGGCTAATTGTGCGGGTACTTTTGCTACGTAGAATGAAAGCTCTGCAAGACGAAGAAGCGGCCGAGGACATCGATCCGAAATCCGAAGGGGCCATCAACCTGCCGACCATGGAAGTTGCCCGGACCTTCAGCGTGGAGACGATTGACTACCCGCATCCGCTAGGTGTGCACCAGGTCCACCGGTGGTTGAAAAAGCAGATGGTCAGCCTGGACGACTGGTGTCCGGAGTACAAGTTGTGCAGCGTGTCTTACATCAAGGACGAGCCTGCTTGATGAAGAAGAAGGAGGAGAAGAAGAAGAAGAAGAAGGAGAAGAAGAAGGAGAGGAAGAAGAAGAATAAGAAGTAAAGGAACAAGAAGAAGAAGTAGAAGAAGTAGAAGAAGAAGAAGGGAGAGCGAAGCCAGCGCACTCAAGACGCATGGCCGGGAGTTTTCTTTGGGGGTCGATACAGGAGTCTCGGATTGGGTAAAGATATTTTAAGATTTTGTATATACGCGCGCGTATGTGTGTGTGTGTGTGGAAGCATGGGCCGGGACTGTTTGTAGAGCTGGATATCTGGGACGAAGCATATATTATATTGTATACATGTAAACGTATACATACAAATATATCTGTCAACAACTATATATCTGTATATACAAGAGCCTTTCTCTCTTGTTTCTCGGTACCCCCTCAACCCATGGATGATCCCTACTCGAGGACATATGTTTCTGTCCACTCTTTCTGACTATGACCCGGCTATCCGATCTTGATGTTGACTGATGGATCGACATGAAGTCATCTTCGGACTCCTCTGGGTCAGGCAGGATCCCGACCCGCGAAGCCGAGACATCCCCGGGCTCTTCGCATCTTCCTCAGCTACCGGTACTGAGCAAGCCAACTACCCCGCAATCCAGACGGACACCTACCTCGCCATTCCCTCCATCCCGTGTTATCCCCGAAGCCTCGACCATAAAATCTGATGTTCAAGTCTTTCTCTTTCTCTCCCTCCTTCTCTCTCTCACTCTCACACACACAGACTCTGCCCTCTCCATTCTTTATCTCCTCACTTCTTCTCACCCGACTCAACTCGACATCTTAGTCCTTCTTCAAAACCAAACCAAAACCAAAACCAAACCCAAAACCAAATCAGAAACCAAAATGGTATTGTGCACTCACTCGTTCCATATGCCCTCCCTACCCGTCTCGCCCATCGCCCATCGCCCATCGTCCAGAACGCTGACAAGACACAACATGAACAGGTCAAGGTACTCCTAGTATTATACGATGGCAAGAAGCATGCCGAGGAGGTGAGTAGTATACCCATCCATCTATCCACCCTCTCGTGCACACTCGAGCTTCCCCCATCAATCAATGACTGACCCATCTATTCCCCTTCTCAGGTCCCAGAGCTTCTCGGCACAACCGAGAACGAGCTCGGTATCCGCAAGTGGCTCGAGGATCAAGGACACACTCTCGTCACCACATCCGACAAGGAGGGGGAGAACTCCAAGTTTGACCAAGAGCTCGTTGACGCCGAGGTCATCATCACCACCCCGTAGGCAGCCTCCTATCCCCAATGCCGACAAGATTCTAGGTTCGACATAAAAATAGTAGCGCTCGCTAATCATTCATTTCTCAGTTTCCACCCCGGTTACCTAACCGCTGAGCGTTTGGCCAAGGCCAAAAAGCTCAAGATTGCCATCACCGCGGGTATCGGATCGGATCACGTCGACCTGAACGCTGCCAATACGACCAATGGTGGTATCACCGTTGCTGAGGTCACTGGTTCCAATGTGGTCTCGGTCGCCGAGCACGTGGTCATGACCATCCTCATCCTTGTTCGCAACTTTGTCCCCGCTCACGAGCAGATCCAAGCTGGTGAATGGGACGTCGCTGCTGCCGCCAAGAACGAATTCGATCTCGAGGGCAAGGTCGTCGGTACCGTTGCTGTCGGTCGTATCGGTGAGCGTGTCTTGAGACGTCTAAAGCCATTTGACTGCAAGGAGCTCCTCTACTTCGATTACCAGCCCCTCAAGCCGGAGATTGAGAAGGAGATTGGATGCCGACGTGTAGAGAGCCTCGAGGAGATGTTGGCCCAGTGTGATGTGGTCACCATCAACTGCCCTCTCCACGAGAAGACCCGTGGTCTGTTTAACAAGGAGTTGATCTCCAAGATGAAGCCTGGCAAGTTCCGATTTTGGCTGCTGCGCCGACCAAGGGCTAACCTGGTGCAGGATCATGGCTCGTGAACACCGCCCGTGGCGCCATTGTCGTCAAGGAGGACGTCGCCGAGGCGCTCAAGTCGGGTCACCTTCGCGGATACGGTGGGGATGTTTGGTTTCCCCAACCAGCACCCAAGGACCACCCTCTCAGATACGCAAAGAACCCCTTCGGTGGTGGAAACGCTATGGTTCCTCACATGTCCGGTACCTCCCTCGATGCCCAGAGGAGATACGCGGACGGTACCAAGTCCATCCTGCAGAGCTACCTGAGCGGCAAGCACGACTACAGACCACAGGACCTGATTGTCATCAACGGTGACTACGCCACTAAGGCTTACGGTGAGCGTGCAAAGAATTCGGGCTCGAGCGGAGCGAACAAGGCATGAAGCTCGTGCTGGAAACTGCCTCCTCACGAGAAAATCAATGTTGCTGTGAAGTATTAGCGAACAATCAAAAAGATTCGTAAATTTGATAACGTAACTTGTAGAGAGGAATACGAGCATGTTGTCGTTTTTCTCGGGGGCCGAAACTTTGATAAGTACCCGCATGTCGATGACTAAGCCTTGGCCATCTTTTGCCGATGTGTTATGCAACACTTCCAACAGAGATTCAAAGGCTTATAATCGCTCAATCTTCTACGACATCTACGAACAAGGTCTGTTTTGTCTTTTCTTGCTCTGGAGAGGCAATTCATGTCAGGTGACCGGTTTTTTGTCTCATCCCGACTCGACATATATAATAGATCTGAGGCTGCCCCAGCCAATCCACCTACTTTACAGACATCAATCCAGTACCGTTACCTGATGCTTTAGCCACTCGGGACATCTACCTACTCAGCTCCTCTCGTGACTCAGATCCGAAATATGGATGATGTTGACCGGCTGTAAGATACGGGCGTATGGCTCTCTATGTCAACAAGGCCCCGAGCTTCAAAACTCACCGAGAGGGCTTCCGCGCTAAATATTTATAGGATCAGATCAGTACCTGGCTTTTTTTTCTTCTGCTTTCATGTTTATCATTTGCGTCTCTTTTCCTATAGCCGCATCGTACCTTCACGCTCTGTTCATCTCGCTTCGAGACACAGACTCCTTGCCTCTCTCTCTGCAGCTAGCGTGCCTACCATTGTTGGCATCTTTCCTTTTTTCCTTTACTTTGTTGACTCGCTTCGAATCACCGATTGACCATGGCTGGCCGCCATGGCTCCAGCCACGACCATGAAGGTCCTGCAGAGTTCTGCTGCTCCCTTCACTACTCCCTAGACCCCAGAAGAGATATTAATACCAGTATCAGGGCGCAGAGCAGGGAGAACGTAGTAGCGTCGCTCTCCTCGTCCAGGACGTGCTGCTGTACCCTTCACCACTCCCCTTTCTCCTTCCCTTTCCCGAAGCCACTGTTTAGCACCGATGCAAGCTCAGTGTTTTTGCGCGATCCGGCTTCCTTTGCCGTCGTCGCTGTCGAGGCTGGCGAGGCCGAATCCGAGAGCGGAGGGGGAAAGAAGGATTGGCGGTTCTGGATGATCTTCCTCTCCGTCTGCGTCACCACGCTCCTGGTGGCCATCGACCTCTCCATCGTCTCCACCGCGCTCCCGACCATCGCGCTCGACCTGGACGCCGACGAGCTCTTCGTCTGGGTTGCCAATGCTTATGTCCTGGCGTCCACCGCCGTCCAGCCGCTCTTCGGTCAGGCAGCCAACATCTTCGGACGTCGGTCGCTGACCATCATCTCGGTCCTGCTGTTTATGCTCGGCTCCGGTCTTGCGGGAGGGGCTTCGAACATTGGCATGATCATCGCAGCTCGCACTGTCCAAGGCATCGGGGGTGGTGGCATTATCACCCTGGGAGAGATCATCATCTGTGATCTACTTCCTCTGCGTGAGAGAGGCCAGTATACCGGTCTTCTCGCGGGAACCTATGCCATTGGCACCATCATTGGGCGTAAGTCATCAATAGTTCTACACCTCCGTCCGGGCCTAGTCTTCGCCAACTGTCACGGACTAACTGATCAACAGCCGTTCTTGGTGGCATCTTCACGCAGCACGTTACGTGGCGTTGGATCTTTTACATCAATCTCCCCGTCTCAGGGGTCGCCCTCCTTTTCATCATCCCTTTCCTCAACTTGAAGTACAAGCGAGTCGGAACGGTTTGGGACCGCACCAAGCGGGTGGACTGGCTGGGAAATTTCGTCCTCATCGGAGCAGTCACCGCCATTCTCCTCGCTCTCGCCTGGGGTGGAACCAAGTTCTCTTGGTCATCGTGGCACATTCTCCTCCCCCTGGTCATGGGATTCCTCGGCCTGGTCGGCTTTGCCACCATCCAAGTCTCAGGCTACGTCGAGGAGCCAACCATGCCGCCGAGGCTCTTCACCAACCGCACCTCCGTCTCGATCTACGTCATGGCCTTCGTACACGGCATCCTACTCCTGTGGATCACCTACTTCCTCCCCGTCTATTTCCAGGCCGTGAGGAACGCGTCGCCGTCCCGAGCCGGAGTGATGCTCTTCCCCACGGCCACCACCATCGCCCCAGCCGCCGCAATCTCAGGCGTGATCATCACCATCACCGGCCGCTACCGCATCTTCCACTACCTCGGCTTCGTTTTCATGTCTCTCGGCTGCGGCCTCTTCGCCCTGCTCGACGAGAAGTCCGGCGTGGCCATGTGGGTCGGCTTCCAGGTCCTCTTCGGGCTCGGGAACGGCATGGTGTACAATTCCATGATCCCACCCCTCCTCGCCAGCCTGCCGCCGACCGAGGTGGCGACGGCGACGGCCAGCTGGACTTTTTTCCGCTCCTTCGGTTCCATCTGGGGCATCGCCATCCCGAGCGCTATCTTCAACGACCGCGTGAACCGCCTGGTCCGCGAGAGGCTGGCCGTAAACGCGCCGACAGTCGCGGCCCAGCTCATGAACGGGAAGGCATACGAGCGAGCCACGGCGGTCTTCATCGCTAGCCTCGGCGCAAACGTGAAGCCGGTCGTGGTCGGCATCTACGTCGATGCGCTGAAGGTGGTGTGGTACGCGAGCATCGCCTTTGCGGTCGTCGGCTTGCCGATCTGCTTGTTCGTGAAGGCCTTGGACTTGAGCAGTACGCTGGAGACGGAGTTTGGGATGGAGGAGAAGAGGAAGAGGATGAAGGAAACCGGACGGGGTGGTCCGGCATAGATAGATGGATTGGTAGATGGGAGGGCGGGCTGTGCATTGGGAGGGAATTTGAGGAACTTGGTTTTTGCGTTTCTTGCGTGGAATTGCAGAACGGCACTGATAGAGAGAGACTGGCTTACTTGCTTTTGTCTTTTTGCTGGAGTCGAGGGAAGCGAGCTGCTGTGTGAACCCCAGGTCACATGCTCGCTTGGCACAATCAGGGGCTCGCTACGTAGAAGCTTTGACCCGTTATTCGCATTAAGCTTTACAAACAATCAGGCGTTTTCTTTCCATCTGCTTCCGAAGCCTCGTCTAAATGCTCCCTAGAACTCCACCAATATCGTACGCACTAGCATCCACATGTCGCAAATGATTGTGGGTCTCCTTCGTCGACAGGGAAAACGTTTCAATGAAAGTCGAGTCAATCGATCACTCACTATGACTGTGAATCCCAAGCAGGAGGAAAGCCCGGTTGGCTGGGACTAGAGATTTTCAAAAGAAGCATCAAAGTAATGTACAGGGATCTCTCATGTCATTAAACAGTACGTGGCATGCGCGCCATCATATGATAGCAGCATGGACCCATAGTAGTATACATCGTCAGTGTGGGAGTGGAAATGGTATGAAGACAACAGAGGAAGAAGAATAAGATAACAATCCGCTCAAACCAGACACATGGCTTACGCCTCAACGAAGCCCTTAACGTTTTCCAACCATCTGACGTACTCCTTTTGCTCCTTCATGTCAATGTAATCCGGCACGAAGATGGCCAATGCCGTATTGATACCTCTCTCGTCCAGATATCTCTCCAACAGCACCTGGAGGTCCTCGTCCAGGTTCCCGAACGGTGGGCCGACATACTTGTCCTGTCTGGCGTGCACCTTCTCGGCGGTCTTGGCGTGGGCGAGCGACGGGTCGGCGTAGTAGTAGACGTTGTCGATGACGACCATGCCGTCCTGAACCACGGCCTCGACAGCAAGCGCACCCTTGTTGGCCTTCTCAATAATGATGTTCAAACGGGCGGGGAAGGACTGATCTTGCTCATCCTGTCCCTCTTGGCCCTCCTCCATTTGATGCTCTGGCGCGGTCTTGACGTTGTCCTCGCCCTCGTCTGCCATTGCTGGGTCTTGGTAATCTGCCTCGGGGTCGAGGTTGTTCAGGTCGGCGATGGAAAAGGTGATGCGGATCCTGGTGGATATTAACATTGTGCTTCGGTGCACGGAATGAAATGGGCTGGGAAACTGCATACTTCTCGTCACCAAATGTTCTCGTCAAGATAACGTCTTCCTCGCCAGGCGTGTCGATGATCTCGAATGGACCGTTCTCCAGGTAGTCTTGCACGCTGTTTGGCACGCCACCCTCGTCCTTCATCTCGTTCTCCATCTGGATCTCAGAGGCGAGCTTTGCGGTGAGCTCGGCATCGCCTTTAGCGGGTGCTGATCTGCGAGCAGCCGCTGTAGAGAATGCTGCGGCGCGTTGATGGTCTCTTGTTGATTTCCATGCAGCTTGTAATAGAGAGGAGGGTCTAGCTGCTGGGCGTCTGATGGCGGAGGAGCTCAACCGGGCGACTGTTCGCGGCGCCGAGCGGGCGAAGGATCTGATAGAGAGCATCGTGAAGAGCGTAATGCGGAGTTGGGCGAGCAATTGGAGAGGTTGGGTGATGCCTTTGATGCTGAGGAGGAGTGACAGTCAGGTAGAGGTTGAGGTTGAGGTTGAATATGAGGTTGAGGTTGAGATGAGGTATCTGACTTCCGTTGCTCTGAACTTTTTTTTTTCCCTCAAGTAGGGCGAGGCTCCGAGGCGAGGCGCTACATTTGCCAAGATCCGGACTGCGGGGCAGGGGTAAGCTCGATAAGTACTTTACCTACCTTACTTACCTTCCTTACCCCCAAACACCCCTCTCTTGCTACAACTTTGATTCCTCTATCAATTACATACATACTACGCCATCGACTCTGGCTATGGCAGCTAATATTCCAGCCAAATTGAGAGCGGCCGACCTCACCAGATATATCGTCAGAGCAGCTCAACTCGAGACTGCGAAGCCTGTGATATCGTATTGGTGTAAGTGACCATCCACCCTCATCTCTTTGAAGAATATGCACTGAGATGATCGGGACAGGCGAATACTGGATCGTCAATCAGGTGCTTGCGAAAGGACTTCAGAATGACGACCAGGAGGTTTTACAATATACTTTGAATCTGATGGACAAGCTTGAACAGGTACTGCGTTGCATGTCTGGCCAGCTCGGTAGCCTCGCAAGTGCTGAGTGAGTGTTATAGGTCAAAGCCGACAATGCGACAAATGACGCGATCCTTGACGACGCCGCCGGACAAGCATATGTTGAACACTTTGGTTTGGAGACTTTCTTCAGGGCAGACAGAGCTGTCAAGGCAAACGCAGTCACGAAGTACGGACATCCACCAAGTTGAGGGACCACTGCTTATACCCACAGACAAACTGCGGATACCTTCCAAGCTGCTGCAACTTTCCTCGAACTTCTCAAAATCTGGGGGGCTCCAGATACAGATACAGCAGCCAAGATCAAATACGCAAAATGGAATGCGATACGGATCATGAGAGCATTGAAGGAAGGAAAGGACCCCAACGAATCGAATCCGAAGATTGAATCTGCCGATGAAGAATTGCCAGCGCTTGATCCCAATGACCCGGAAGTCTTGCAGATTGGAGGACCAAACAAACCGCAACCAGCCTCTGTCGAAGATGATGTACCCGACGGACCAAGCCTTGGAAGGGAATTCTCTGTTGGCCAGTCTCTGCATCCTTCGGCACAGCCGTCAGCCCAAGTGTCTGCACCCGAATCTCCTAGAAAAAATCCCGCGTATGAGCCTTATCCAAAAGATGGATTCCCTTACACGGCGGTCCGGGACGAAAAGGTTTCTCCATTGGAACCTTCACCTAATGAAAGAGACGATTCAGTCGGAGGAGGATACTTTCCTGAAGTGCCAACATTTACCTCTGAAACACAAGAGTCAACACGACAGACCGCACCATCAACAGATGCTATCAACCTCGGCCTTCCAGATCAACCGTCAGCGCCTCCAGGCAGCGGGTTAGGACTTCCAGATCATCCTACAGGGTTCCCAGGAGTGCAACGATCTCCAGATTTCGAGTCGTTCCCACCACCCTCTATTCCTGACAAGTCTGCACCTCCCCCACAGGACTTCTACCGCCAGGCCCCTCCCTCACATGCCACTCCGCAGTTTCCACCTCCACCCCATCAGCCGCACCTTGCCCATCCCGCCGCAGGCCAGCAGCCCACAAATCTACCCCACCCACAAAAAGACAACCCACCTCCTCTCTCTGACCTTCCGGCAACCAAAGGTCAACTAACCACGGACGACATGTCGATTGCCAAGGCGCAGAAGCATTGCCGATGGGCTATCTCCGCATTGAATTTTGAAGACGCGGCAACGGCAGTCAAGGAATTGAGGGAAGCGCTAAAAACTTTGGGCGCGGAATGAATCTATGAATTGGATAAAATCTATTTAAATACTAATTGATAATAGCCTACTTAAGCGATGAAAAGCGAATACCCTATCAAACAAACCTTTTATTGTTGACTTTGTATCTCGGTTATATTTGGCAGGCGGGATCAAGCTTATTCGCGAAACAAACTAAATTCGTGGAAGTGGACACACTCGGGGCATTTGTATATCAACAATCTGATACTTTCCAAGGCCGTCCAAAAAGAATGAACATCAGACGCGAAAGATTGAAAAGTGTGTAGGAAGCCATGATTCATTGCACAAGGCGAAGTGCCGGTTCTGTTCTCCATCTACCTCTCCCCGTTCTCGCAAAGAATTCATCGCATGCTCAAACCTGCTGAAACCAAAGCGGAAATCCAGCGGCATCCATGATAAACCCCAACGCCCTGTCTGCCCCGATGTAACTGTCCTTCTCTCTGCTCATCCCAAGCCCACGCCTAAGCAACGGCGACGGGCTCGACACTCCTGGCCTCGCCGTCGGCCTCACCGCTATTGACCTTCTTGCCCGTCTTAAATATGGTGGTCAGGACCTTTTCGTAGGACAGCGACGGCTCGGCGACGACGGTGGCAGTCTGCGTGTCGAGGGAGACGTCGAAAGATTTAACGCCTGGTCGGTTGATTAGCTTTGGGCTTTATGCTTTAAGGAGATGCTTTAAGGAGAGGTGGGGTTGGAAGGACATGAAATGGGATGGGGTGAATGGGTGAACGGGATGAACACGTACCCTCCAGCTTGGTCAGGACGCGCGTGACGGCGCCGGAGCAGCCGCCGCAGCTCATGCTGACGTTGAACTTGTAGGTGTGGTCTTCGGCGGACATGGTGTTGGTTTGTAGCGGGCGGGGTTGGGAATAGTGGTAGGCTGGTAGTCTGGTAGGTTGATGCGGGTGATTTTGAAGGGGGATATGCAGAGGCTGAAGCAAGTGATGTCAAGTACTGTGGCTACGTATTGACGTGTAGGTATTTATATTGCGTGCTTTGGCCTCAGCTGCATTTGTAAGGAAGGCGTTTACTTGCTCAGCTCACTAGCGTGAGACAACCTTCGAAACTTGCTCATCCCATCCTGTCGTGCCATGTCGATGTCGGCGTCGGCGTCGGCACTTGGCGGCAGGAAGCAGATACCGATACCGATGCCAGCACTTCGGGTTTCGGTAGAGACAAGCCGGCCGGGCCGTGGTAGGTACCGTAAAGATGCAGGGTCCTGCATCGGCGAAGTTCGGCCGTCAAGCCAGTGCCGCAGCCTCAGCCTCAGCCTCAGCCTCGGCCTCGGCTACATCACATCTCCCATCTCCAGGGACTCCGCGAGAGTTTCCAACATATCAAAAACATCAACGTTCTTTTGCGAAAACCGCACTCCCCACCTCCACCCGGCTTGCTACAAAGATGGACTTCCCATCCAAACCTTTAACCCAACTCCTAGGTTCAAACGGTAAGAAAAGCACAGCTAACTAACTCAACGACATCCCACCATATCGACAGATGAAAACCGCAAGGCTGACAACCCGCTCTTTTCCCCTCCAGGCCCAGTCCACGCCCTAACCTACTCCTCCTCCCCCTCAACCTACATCCTAACCGGCTCCTCGGACCGCACCATCCGTCTCTACAATCCATCTCGCCCTTGCCCCACGCCATCCTCCTCGTCTACACCTCTCTCCCCCCCAAAACCCACCCAGCTCATCCAATCCTACTCCGCACACGGATACGAAGTCCTCTCCCTCACCGTCGCAAGCGATAACGCAACCTTCGCCTCTGCGGGCGGCGACCGCGCCGTCTTCCTCTGGGACGTGGCGACAGCGAAAACCCTTCGCCGCTTCCAAGGGCACACCGCTCGCGTTAATGCCGTGACTTTCGCCGCGCAGGGCGACAGCGTGCTGGTGTCCGGCAGCTTCGACGCGAGCGTGCGGCTCTGGGACGTGCGGAGCCAGAGCGGGAAGCCGGTCATGGTGCTTGACGACGCGAGGGATAGCGTGACCTGCGTGTTGGTTTCTCGAGAAGGAGGGGGAGGGAGAGGGGGAGGGGGAATGGGCGAGTACGAGGTTCTGGCGGGGAGTGTGGATGGGCGGGTGAGGTGCTATGATTTGCGGTTTGGGAGGGTCGAGACGGATGTCATTGGTGCGAGCGTGACGAGTTTGGAGAGGACGAGGGATGGCAAGGGGGTGCTTGTTGGGGGGCTGGATAGTTGTGTTAGGCTGATGGATCGGGAGGGTGGGGGGCTTTTGAAGAGTTATAAAGGTGCGGGGTGGAGGAACGAGGAGTTTAGACTTCGCAGCGTGTTTGGGAAGAGCGAGAGGTGGGTTTTGTGCGGGAATGAGGATGTAAAGGGTGCGGACGGGGAAGTCGTGGTCTGGGATACACTGAGTGGGGAGGTGGTGGAGAGGGTTCGGGTGGAGGGCTCGAAAGTCGAAGCGAAGAGGAAGATTGGGACGGATGGCAAGGAGAGGGAAAGGAAGAATGTGGTGAGTTGTTTGGCGTGGAAGGATGGCGTGAGGGGCGATCAGTGGTGCTGTGCTGGTACCGATGGAATTGTGACTATTTTTGGGCCGCCTTGAACTCGATGAGGCTTCGATGATTTCACGAATCCGACACCTAACGGTCATGGACCGATGATTTCCCCGAACAGAATCGCTCAGCGGGGGAAAGAAAGGCTACCTACCAAATGGGCTTCGAACAAAGGGCCTGAAACACCGAAAGAGGACAACTCGCTTGGTGCTGGTCGAGGAACCCAGAAGCGTTCGTCTGGCGAAATTTAAAAACACAGGGAACTCCTCCTCTCCACAATGTGACACGGGGAATGGCCTTCCTACATCTATCCTCATTCTGGCCACACCAATTCTCTCATCTGCCCCGAAAGACATTTGGGCTGTTTAGACTTGGAGACTTCAAGCACCTTGGACAACCATTGCAGTTAAACAAGCATGTACAATCAAGTAACCAGACCAGCAGTGATTGAGCAGTGGCAACACCTGAGCCATGCCTGAAATTCGAATCTAAATTAAGATGCCCGGCTGGAGCCAGATGAGCAGCGGTTCCGTTGAAATCCACCGGCTCGAAACCCCCCCCAAAAGACTCGACACAAGACAGCGTACAAGAGCAATACAAAATAGGCAGGCACTTCTAGAGCCGCAAGTGCTATTAACTTCGCTTACAAGAATAGAACGATCTCGCCTCTATCATTCTTCTTCATGCGTAGACTTCTCCACAGCTCCTTTTCTTCAGCCTGCTTGCCGAGCCCAAGGTTCAGCGCAGCCCTCTCGCGGTGATACCTCTTAAGCGCCTTATTCATACTAACACCCCGCTCGCTATTCGGGCCCTTGTTGATAAAGCCCAGCAGCAGCTCGGCGCGGTTTTGGAATACGACCAGCTGGCTGCCGTTGTCCTCTGCCACGCCCTCACCGTTCATGGGCGTGTACTCGATCATCTTGCGGGCTGGGCGGTCGGAACCTTCGCGTTGCTTGCGGTGTTTCCGCTTGGGTCGGTCCTCAGAATGTTCCCTTGACGAGACACGCTTTTTGCTGATCAGTGACATAAGATTGTTGCTGATAGTATCTACACGCCCGCGCTTCAAGTCCTTGGAATTCGTCTTCTTCACAGGGCTGCCCGGGGACGCCTCGGCGACGTCGCCACCTGAGTAGTCTGGCGACGGAGGAAAGACTGATGGGCGGGAGAGCAGACGGCCCAGACCGCCGCTAAGTCCCGAGTGTAAGACGGGCGGTGCATCGGTCATGCTTTCGTCGTCGCGGGGTGCTAGATCCTGAGTTTCGACGTGGAGCCGCTTCCTCTTCTTGTCCTTCTTCTCCCCTTTAGTCTTCTTCTCCTCTCTAGTCGATTCCCGGTCCTTTCTATCCTTCTTACGCTCCCGCTCCGCCTTGGGTACTGGGGTACGATATTCCGTCGCTCCTGTTGACACGGGCCCGTTTCCGTACTCCACCAGATCTGTAACAGATTCGTTGAAATGCACTCTTACAAGATCCCTGTCGTGATTCAACTCCATCTCCTCGTCATTAGTATCCTCAATCATCTGCACTGGCTTCGGGCCGGGAAGCTCAAGCCGAGACTGGTTTGGCGTGGATCCAGCGACCAGGAAATCAAAAACATTGACCGCGCCTGGGCTCGAGTCGAGCGCAAACCCCGGTGCGGCAGACGGCGGGGTCGGAGCTGCCGGCATCGACGGCTCGACAGTCTCAATATGCGAGATGTGTTGATATTCGTAGTCGGCGTCCTCGACGTGGGCGACATGCGGCACAAGAGCCTGCGTGTGGTTCGGGGTCTGGTTCTGGTTCTGCTTGTTGTTCTGATTCTTGCCCTTCTTCTCCTTCTCCGGCCGGTACAGCGCGCCCTGGTACTTCTGCGCTTCACTGATGCAGCTCTGCGAAAGCGTCAGACCAGGCCCAACGGCATAGATGGGATGAAGAGGTCAGGTACGTACGGTATGCGCGCGATACTCTGTTCCGTCGAAGTGTACCATGCAGTCGAGACATGTGAACGATGCGCCGTGACATTGGTTACGATGGGGATCCAGCTTCTTCTTGGTGAGGACGTCGCCGCAGTTCTAGCAGCAGGTTAGACTGTACCAGATCATCCTTACGACGAGCCCGGGTCGACGTCGCCGAGCGCGCAGAGCAATAACGTACCTCGCAGGAGAAGGAAACCATGATTGAATTTTTTTTTTATTTTTCCTACCCTTTGCGTTGTTGGGCTGATGTGTGCGATTTGTGAACCAGACTCGGGCTGTAAGTCTGAACAGGAGCAGAGATATGTTTGAGGATGATGTCGGGATGCAATGGTCGAGTGGTACTGGTAGATAGAGGTGAAGAAGGGTGGTGGTGACTGTACTTCTCTTTTGCTTGGTGGGAGAGACTATTTTGAGCACCGGGAGGGATTGCGGGCGATGCAAGGTCGCGCGCTTTGGCTTACCGCGGCGACGAATCACGAGGCCCGGCCGGAATTCTGAGGGTGTGGTGGTGTGGATGATATGGATGGAGATGGAAATCCTGTGACGGGCTTTTGGCAAGGGTGTTTATCTGAGGGTGTGCTTCTCCGACGACCAAATGACTTTTTTGCTGTATATATTTGATTTTCCGAGAATGGTTGTTGAGATTAACTCTCGGGACACGTGATCAGACCATTCCTGGATCTAAGCGTTCGTTACATGCTTTTCACCCCTAGCTATAGATGTGTCTGTTATCGCAGTCCTCGCCTAGACGGAGTATTGTAAACAATATTTCCTCGAAGGGGTCTTCCTACGTATCTGCATTTGACTAAAGTATTGCTATTCTAATACAAAAAGATAGGTACCGGTATCTCATAGTCTTAGTTTGGAATAGATAGAGTTTATGTTGTTTCGTAATAGGCCGATCTCTACATGTCTTTCGTGTTGGCGTGCAAGAAGATATTCGTACGTAGTACATCGGAAATAATAGTGGGACTTGACGTCGCAACTCTTGGGCCCGTCAAGTCCCGCTCTTAACCTTCAAGCGACGTCGCGTCACAAATTTAGAAAGTTTGTATCCGTACCGGTAAGTAGGACCATCTCCTGTCACAGGTAGTAACATTTTTTGAAACAGAGCAGCTGCAATATAGCCTTTCTTCTAGAAACAGTAGCCTGATCCGTAAATATAGATTAAGTAGTTGAGAGCTACTTCAAGTCCGTAATTGTTATAGCACCTCCTACGCTCTCTGATAAGGATTAGGTGGATAGCAGAAGTGATAGGAAGTTAGCACTCCCTACGCTCTCTGATGAGTATTAGGTGGATAGCAGAAGTAGTAGGAAGTATCTTAATATTCAAATTATTTAGCAAATTTGATACAGTCGTGTCTCAGGACTTGATTAGCACTTAAAGTATTTCTTTGTTTCTTTTTCTCGGTCCTGTAGGTGGCTGTTTCGTTCTCACTTGCCTGGATTATGTAACACTTGATGACGGTTACCTTTAACGAATCATAAGACCGTATTAGCTTAGTCAGACGGCCACTCTCTTATCAAGATCAGCAAGTTCTGTCGACTGCTTTGATGGCGCTAGCCCTAACGTATCTGTTTGTAAACAAAATGAATAGACGACCCGCCTAAACCGGCAACAGTCATCTTCTCACTTCTGCAATTCAACTCACCTTTTCATTTTCGCCAGTTCAAAATGTATCAACCCGCTCCTTCTCATACTGAGGAAACCCCTACAACGATCTGATCTTCAATCTCCTACTCTACTCTTCCAGCATACATATCTGACAATCCTTGAGTAACAAACAAACACACACCCACACATACACATACAACCCCTTGAATACACTCCTCACTCACCTGCTAACACAGACACAAATACACACACACACACACAGAGACTCAAAAGAACCAAACAGAGAAGAAGAAAAAGAACACCACCCTCAAACCAGCAACAATGCTCCACCTCCCAGCCCTCCTCGCCGCCTTCGCGTTCACCCTCAGCCTCGCCATAGCCGCTCCCCAAGGCTTCATCTCACAAGAAAAGTGCGCCAACTACGGCCAGCAAGCCTGCTCGTACGATCACAAGAACATCGTAAGTTTACCCCTCCTCTCTCTGCTCTCCCTCCCCTTCTCCTCTCTCCTGTACAAGATATCGAGTCTTGATACATGCATGAATGTTCGAATGCTAATTTCGGGCCGGGAACATCTCTAGCTCGTCTGCAATGTCCGAGGCAAGTGGGTGCTCGCGGCCAGTTGTGCTGGCTTGACTTGCAAGCAGCTGTCCGATGCACCGCACTGCCTTTAAATCCAAGAAGGTATGTGTGTGCGTGTGTGCGTGTGTGTGTGTGTGGTCTAGAGACCCTAGTAGAATGGGAATGAGATAGGACTGACTAACTGACGAGCCGTATTCAGTTTTCCTACTCAGCAGCATCACCTCGGTTTTCTCGCGCTCTCGGCTTTTCGGGCATGGAAGTGATCGGATCGGGAGAAGTTGGTGGGTTAGTGATGCTTTTTTTTCTTCTGATGCATTCATTGGTGACTGGCGCGGATTGGCGTTGAGATGATGCTATACTGCACTGGACTATACTGCACTGGAATTCTTCATCTTCAATTCAGAATTCGAATCGGGTTTCGAGATTTCAGACAACGGGTATCATTCCCTCCTCCAACTCACTTAATTGAAAAAGCTTCTTCTTCTTCTTCTTCTTCTTCTTCTTCTTCTCTGTCTGAGCCATGACTTTCATTTCTGACCTGCTCTAACCTTTCCAAGTTCATTTCCCGTCCTTATCATAGCAACAGGTGTGTCCATCGCATTGCCAAGAGCGTCACCACTTTAATCCCAAATCAGCGAGTTGACCATGATCGATCGAATTAATGAATGAACGACAAGCAGTCCCCAGGAGGAAGAAAAGAGGGAAAAAGGCTCATATCCCGTCTACTTTCACAAAGAGAGACAGCACAGGCCGCTAATCTTTACAAAACTTCTCAGCATACATGCATACAAAATGAATATCACTTTTGCTAGCTAATCCTAGGCCCTACTTTTTTCCTTCCCGGTATTTCCGAGAAGGAAAGAAGGGGGGTGCTTTAGCTAATACGGCGAAGGGAAGAGAAAAAAAAAAAGAAAAAAGGAAAAAAGGTCATTCAATCTGAATCGCGCCTTACTTATCAGGCGAACGAAGTCAACAGCCTGCGCTTCACATCCCACATCCCACAGCCCCCCCCCACACACCTACACCCCAAATGAAGTTCTGCTGCTCGCGATAAAGCACATCATCTCCCAACGAAAGCCGACCGACGCCGACGGGGGAAGAAGAAAAGATTCATCACCCTCTCCCAAATCTCAAGTAGATAAGAAGAGAGGAATGAACGGGGCTGACCCGATCCGGAAGGTGCAGCTCCGCAATCCAGTCGTCGACGTTCCTCTGGGAAAGAAGCCTCCTGACCTGATGATACCTGCCTACTGACCTACCTACCTACCTACCTACTTTACTCACCCCAGTCCCGTGTCCCGCATCCCATGTTTTGTGCCAAAGCCAGAGGGAGAGCCGAATCGAAAAAAAAAAAAAAAAAAAAAAAAAACGGAATAATATCATCTCTAAGCCTAAACCTACATATTTTACAGAATGCCATCAGACAGACAGACAGAGAGGAAGCTCAAGCCCAAGCTCAAGCTTAATCAATCCCAAGCTCAATCCCAAGCTCAAACTCAAGCTCAAGCTCAGGCTCAGGCTCAAGCTCAGGCTCAAACTCAAGCTCCAGCAAATCGTCCGCGCGCGAAAAGCCAACGGACGGACGACACCAGATCCACTTAGAAGAAAAGCCTCTTACAAGTACCTAGTACCGGGAAACACTCAATATACTACGTAGTACGTAGTACGTTAGGTACCTAGTTAGTGCGCGCGCTGACTTTCACCTCACCTCACCCGCGGGCTGGGCTGGGCTGGGCTGGGCTGGGCTTCCTCGGTAACCGGTTACCCAAAAGTCAGGACGAGCGAGTGGTCCCGACTCCCAGGTCAAGCCAGTACCGGTAGGTACCGGTATCTATATCTATATCTATATCTATATCTATATCTATATCTATATCTATATCTAGGTAGGTATCCCACTTCAAAAGACCCGAAGAACCGAAAGATACTTATTAACTATAGGTAGCATTCTACATACACATACACATACACATACATAGGTATATATATAAAAAAAATAATTAAATTATCATTGCATAACGCAACCTATCTCAACCACCCCTACCTACCTACCTACCTACCTACCTACACACAAGCAGAGTCGGCATTCATTTCCCTCCGAACAGAACCATCCAGTGGACCTCATCACATCCGACTCTCCCTCCACCCGAGCTCTCCAACACACACACACACACACACAAACCACTTCCTTCCGATTTAGAGAGAACGAGACCCGACGCGCGGAACGCCTCGTGGTTCAGCTTAATTTTTTTTTTTTTTTTTTTTTTTATTACCTGGCGAGCGAGAATCACCAATCTGAATCAGGACATCGAGCTTGAGGAGATCGATGTTAGCGATTCGTGGCTCTCTCTCTCTCTTTCTCTTTTTCGAATTGGTAGCTCGAGGATGAATGAAGCCCGGGATTATTGAACGCTTGAATCGTGACGGGGACTTGTTAGATCTAGAAAACAGGCTGGGAAGGTTTGTAGCAAGGTCGCCTTTTCTTTGTTTTTATTGTCACGGACCTTCATGATGATGATGCACATCAAATCACATCTCGCTCGCTGCCGCAGCCAGTCTCATCCATCCATGGCCCGAAATGCTTTGGTATCATGTAAAATCGTAGACCACCAGCGCTTGCCGGCCCGCCTCGCCGCTCTCCTTCAGCACAATGACAAGCTCATCGTCGAAGCCGACCCACTGCTTGCTGCCCTCTACATCATCTTCATAGGCCTGCACGGCCATATCCCTTACAGTTTCCCAGTCCAAAGTGGCCGCCTCGTCTTGGGGCCTACCGGTCCGGACCCGGACACTTTTATCAACACCTAGCCTGCTACGTCTCTTGAGACCAGCATTCAATCCACTTGAGGAGGAGCCCAGCCCGCCTTCCAGCTCCCATACACGGAGTTCGTTGCCGCGACTAGAGACACTGACGGCCTTGCCTCTGGGGGTGATCTCAGCAGACGACACTGAAGAGGTATGGCCCCATAGCTTTGTCCCAGGTGTAATGCTAAGGGTTGACTTCGTCGAGGTACATAGGTAGAGAGTCAACGTATTGTCGGGATGAGTGGCTAGGATATACGGGTGTGAATATGAGATCGTGGTTGGGCGACTAGATTCCCTCCTCACACCATCACTTTCCGAGGCTGGACACGGGGAAGAAGGCGACGAGGACGAGGGTGATAGAATTGATGTGAATCTTTGAGGCAGTGCCGATGTAAGACGCGAGAAGATCACGCTACCAGTTGTGAGGGACAGATGCAGTTCCTGCAGCCCAACAGTGAACCCGGACGTGTAGGTCCGAAGGCTATAAGCGATGCTTGCTATCAATGTGGTTGAGGTCCTTCGAATCGAAAGAGAAAGTGGAGGCCAGGAGGTATGGGATTTAAGCGAGGCCAGAAGACGTGGCTGGTCTGGTCCCTTTTCGGAAGATCCCAACGGTTCTTTCTCCTCTATGAACGGTGGTTCGTCGTCCCCCAGAGCGGTTTCCGAGACGTGGACATCTTTGACGCATTCCTCCAGCATGTCTGCGGACTGAGAGAGTGAGATCTCAGCCTCGAGATGACCAGGAAGGAAGGTGTACAAAGACAGCCACTGGCCTTGAGTGATGGTCAGCAAATAGGGATATGAAAAAGCAACCGCACTCAGCGTCCCGTTGCTGGAAGCAGGATGTCTGTGGCCCTCCAAGAACCTTCTCTCCTTGACATCCAACCTCCATATTTGCCACCCGCCATCTTCAAATCCAACTGCAACCCCAAGTATACCACCACCCTCCTGCTCGTCAACAGCGAGACAGCTCGGGATATCTCCAACCCCAAGTCCAGTCTGAGCAACGAGCCCCCTCCCTTTCAGAGCCCATCCCCTTAGCCCATCGTCCGCATCCACTGTCAGTACCACACCATCTGCCATCCTCACCAGCATCCCAGCACTTCTCTCCTCCTTCAAACTGATCTCGCTAACCTCGCATACTCCTCTGCTCCAATTGTGCCGTAACCTGTACCTCCCCTTCCAGTCCGTAGTCTCGCCATCATCCCTGTGAACAAGGCCTCCCTCGCCCAGCCATTTACTACTTCTAGAGCTGAAGACTAGCGCCTCCTCTCTTGAAGGTACGTTCTTGATGCCGGGGATCCGCAATGCTCGAGGGAGGACAAAACGGTTATAATACAGATTCTTCCATATCTGGGAGTCGGACGAGAGTCTGTAGAATCGATGCGAGAGGAGGTGGCTGCGAAGGAGGCTGGGAAGAGGGAGGAGGTGTAGGATCCGAATCAGCAACTCATCGGAAAGCTTCGACAGTTTGTCATGAGAGGCCGCTGGAATTGGCTGCTCTTCCTCGACGCGAGTTCTCTTGTGCAATGGCAGTGTTGTATCCGGGCCCAGGGCTGAGCTGAAGCGTTTGGGCGCCATTCTCCGAGGAATTGTCGTCGTCGTCGTTGTTCTTGTGGTAATTGAGGGGAGATGACAAAGGATGAGCGATAAGAGTTCGGGGCTTGCTTATCGATAAGTATCGCGTATATTTCAGGTTCGAACGAGGCTACTTCTGCTCGTTGTACAATTTCAATACAAACCTCAACACCAAGATAGTCTCGAAGAAGGGCTCAGTCAGATTGCCATTATGGGCGCACAACAATCATCTGGTGCCGGAGCTGCTGCCCAGGAGAGCGAGCCTGTGAAGAGATGCTATTACGAAGTCCTCGGTGTTGACCGTCACGCGACAGAAGACGAGTGGGCATCTTGCACTCCACTCCGACCCCGAAGATGTACTGACTTATGAAGGATCAAGAAGGCATACAGAAAACAGGCTCTCCTACTCCACCCCGACCGTAATTTTGGCGATGTAGAGAACGCGACCGCCAAATTCGCAGAAGTGCAATCTGCTAACGAAATCCTCTCCGATCCCCAAGAGCGAGCCTGGTACGATGCCCACCGCGATTCTATCTTGAGAGGAAACGATGGACCAGCGGAAGATGACTTCCAACATAATGTCCAGATCACCAGCGCCGGGCACATCGTGGGCTTGATGGGCAAATTTAACCGCAGCGTTCCGATGACGGATGCGCCGAACGGGTTTTATGGTATACTTCAAGACGTCTTTGCTCAACTGGCCAAGGAGGAGGATGCGGCTTGCCACTGGGAAGGGCTTGAGCCTGTGCATTATCCTGGGTTTGGCAGTGTGGAGGATGACTATGCGGATGTAGTGAAACCCTTCTATGTCACCTGGATTAACTTCACCACGAAGAAGACATTTTCGTGGAGAGACCAGTACAGGGCATCGGATGCCCCAGACCGACGGACCAGGCGGCTGATGGAGAAGGAGAACCAGCGACACAGAGACGAGGGCATCCGCGAGTTCAATGATGCTGTGAGATCGCTTGTGGCCTTTGTTCGGAGGAGAGACCCACGGTATATTCCGAATTCGCAAACCGAAGCAGATCGGCAGAAGATTTTACGCGATGCAGCCACCGCGCAGGCCGCCCGGTCTCGAGCTGCTAACAAGGCCAAACTGCACACGCATGTGGTGCAAGACTGGGCCAAGTCTCAAGAGCCCATCGACAGCATTTCCGAGCCGGAGGCATCCGAAGAGTCCGAAATCGAGCAGATTGAATGTGTCGTCTGTCAGAAGATCTTCAAGAGCGAGAACCAGTACAAGGCTCACGAGAAGAGCAAGAAGCATATCAAGGCGGTGCAGCAGTTGCAACGCGAGATCAAGAGGGATAACGCACGTTTAAATCTTGACCCGCCTGACGAGACGGAGCCGATTGCTCCCGCTGCGGACCTCGATGCATTGGACCTCTCGTCAGATCAGGAGAGATCCGAGGCTGGGTCCGCTGCTGCGACCCGTCCAGCTCTCCACGGAGAGGCTGAAGTTCACGCAGCGACCTGATATTCGCGAGTCCAAGAAGTAGCCAGACCACGGCAAGGACAAGCAGCCTCTCGGGAAGCTCTGCCTCTGCTCGGATGTTTGGCGACGTGTGGTGGTCTCGTGGGGGAGTAGGCTGCTGCTGTCGTGGGCTGGGCCCGTTTCGACGATCCGAACCACACGGCGCCCTACTCGTCCTCGTGCCCATAGCCGCGATAAGCCTGCCTGCCGGGCCCTGGGATTCGCGTCGACAGCCACGACCGCGACCACGACCACGGCCACGACCTCCGCCTCGGGCTAGAGGGTGACACCCGAGGCACACTCAGCACTTGCACTTCATTCATCTAGGAGGGGCGAAGAGTAGGTTGGTAGATAGGCAGGTAGGCAAGCAGGTAGGTAGGCAGCGCAGCATATGTAACAATGTAACAATGGAGATGACCTTATCGCATTCATTTTCCACACACCTGTACTCTCCGTATTAGCTAGCATCCGCATCGGGCACTTCTACCCCGTATGTACATAGGTACCGGTACACACATCGATACATACCACGTGCAACGAAAGACACTCTACGGAGGTACGATGTCTACATATCTACATATCTACATATCTACATATCTACATATCTACATATCTACATATATCTACATGTCTATACCAAGATCATCACAGGTAACCTACCTACCTACCTACCTACCTACCTACCTACCTACCCAACGTCCATGACATTCGCACATATTTCGTCCCTCCATACCTTAGCTCACCTCACCTCACCTCACCTTACCTCACCTCACCTCACCTTACCCTACAGCTACAGCTACGCAGCCCCCGATGCTCAAGTCGGTGTGAGACCCCCCTTCCCCCACCCTTCAGTCGTTCCTTGTTTTTTT